GGCGTTGTTGTTATGTTCGTTCCTGAGATTGGCGTTGTTGTTGTTGTTGTTGTTGTTGTTGTTGTTGTTGTTGTTGTTGTTGTTGTTGTTGTTGTTGTTGTTGTTGTTGTTGTTGTTGTTGTTGTTGTTGTTGTAGTCGTTGTTAATGTTATTGTTGTTGTCGTTGTCGTTGTCGTTGTCGTTGTCGTTGTCGTTGTCGTTCTCGCTGTTGCTGTTGTTGTTGTTGTTGTTGTTGTTGTTGTTGTTGTTGTTGTTGTTGTTGTTGTTGTTACTGAAACAGATATAATTCCCTTGCAGCATAAAGGCACGATCAATTCTAACATGTATCTAATATTGGAAGTAAAAGGCAAAGGAAAAACACATGAAGCTGTTGATTATGTTGCTGTCACTCTTGGAGAATTGTTTGCAGGTAGAGATTATAGAATATTTCTTCTCATTTCTAAACTATGCTTTGTAATCCTTTTCATCTCCTTTGTTTAACCTCGTTGTATTTCCAAAGTATAGTGCTTAAATGCTTTGGAATTCAAGCGACAAGTCTATCGTGTGTTATTATAATATTCTCTGTCTGTTTTCATCAATAGGAAACAAGTACTCCAGCCGCTGGTTACAAATGGATAATGGTAAGATATCTCGGCTATATTATGCTGACTATTTCTAAACTTATCAGTTATGAACTGTTCTCCCCATAACTGTAGAGTTCGCAAGTTAATTTCAATGTTTGAACTTCGTTTGTAAACAAATGTTCATACTCAATAGTAAAAACCAAAAACCTTCTTGGTAGACCACTAGACCAATAACTTGCCATTGAATTGTTAATTTCAACTTGAACTATGAACATTTGTTTACAATAGTTCAAACATCGAAATGTACTTGCGAAACATCGAAATGAACTTTGTTGCGAAGTTCACGCCCAATTTTTGAACTTGGAAACGTAATTGGCAAGTTTGCAACGAACTTGGGAATCGCGCGTTGATAAGTGAATTTCTTCATGAACTATTAATGAACTTAAGCACCCGTCTAACATTTCAGTCCCCTCGGAAACCTCTAATAGTGAGACGAAATTTTAATCAGAGTGGCCCCCAGTCTGAACGGTTGTGATTTACCCATATCATACACGCGTAAAAATCTCACATTTTGTAGCAAGTCTGCCAACAAGCCGTCAACAAGTTGTGTTCGCACTGCTTGTCCCAAGTTGTCAGCAAGTTTAGAACAAGTTGTTAAGAACTTATAACAAGCTTGTTGATACTATCAGACTTGTTGCAAGGTTGTTCCAACAAGTCCGATTACAAGTCCGATACTGTCATGATATTACAATACTGTTACGACCTTGTGTCGTCAACCTTGTAACATTCTTGTTATATCATGACTGTAACAGACTTGTTGGAACAACCTTGCAACGAGTCTGATAATGCCATCAAGCTTGTTACAAGTTGTAATTTACAGCTTGTTCCAACAACTGGGAACAAGCAGTCCGAACACAACTTGTCGACAGCTTGTGAACAGCTTTGTAGCAACCTGTTTGCAGACCTGTAACAACTTGTGCGTTTTTACGTGTGTAGTACTGAGGATTTAACCAATCGCCATATCTTCCAGGTGGAAGCATTCACGTGACGATGACGTGCAAGGAAATTGAAATAATTCCTGGAAGCCCTGGTAGAACAGGTCGCTCGAGACTCAGCTTCAGGAAGAGGAATGCTAGTGAATCATAAATGAATAACTAACTATGTACTAACCAATGAATCTGTAAAGATAAATTTCAAAATGCCTGTAAGGCGGATAAACTAGTGTAAAAACAATTGTAAATAATTTGAATTAACGCAAGTGGCGAAGCGAGCAGAGAGGAATAGGAAAGGAGGACAGCTTTGACGACTTCTATCAAATAAGATTTTGAATACTTGTAACTTAGGTCAAATCTTATTTTCAGCATACTTTAAAGGCACAGTTCAGCCATTTGAATGATGGTTTTTAAGGCGCATTTCAGCCCTTTTATTAAATGAAAAAACTGACTAGGAAAATCAATTAAGCATAATTTAAGATCAGCAAACTTAATGTTTTTAACATTTTAAAACATTTTTATTGTTAAAAACATTGAGTTTACTGATCACGAATTATGCATAATTGATTTTCCTAGTTAGTTTTTTCAATTTATAAAAGGGCTGAAATGCGCCTTAAAAACCAACAATCATAAGGCTGAACTGTGCCTTTAAATTTCATTTAACCAGTGGGGCTTACCGATGCCAGTGAAAATTTTGGAGAAGGTTCCGTTTAGACTTCCACTACCTCTCACTGACTTAATATTAATTTGATTGGTTATTCGGGTAAATTAATCTCATCTGATTGGCTAATTGTGTCGGTAGTGGAATTCAAATTCTACTGAATCTGTCTATTGACCCATTAAGGAGCAACTAGGTTTCTCTGTGCTATTCTATTCTGTCCTGTGCCAGAATGGTTAAAGGTAGTCACATTATGCGCATTAATGTAAAGTTAACCAGAGCACTTGCCCACGTCTCTTGCTAACTCGTAAAGGCGCAATGTTCCTTAATGCACCCCTATATACTTATTCTACATTCTTCCCAATGCCTGCGCCCCAGATTAGCTCTAACAAATAAGTTGCAAAAGATTAATGAAATGAAACCTTCACTAACTAATCAACCTCGTTTCCAAGCTATTTCCCTCGAACGAGCTTGCTTTAATACTGAACTAATTGAATTGCTTTCTAATAATGTACATAAATATTTATTAAATTAGATAAACACTTTATTAATATTTACGCTAGAAAGACCACAATGCATTTCAATTTGAAGATGGCATCGTTATTGTTGAAACGGTCCATTCTGCTCTTTTTGAGTCCGAATAGTTATCTAACATGAAGTATTGAAATGGTACTGGCAACCCGTTTCTTTCACTTTTTATATCAAAACAAAAGTGCGACAAAAATCATCAAAGTTAGAACAAAAAGTGAAATATTTCAAGCTGAAATTGATAACTAGTTCAGCCTAGAATGGAAGTGACGAGATTGAATTTCAAGGAAGTTTTACCCGTAATTTCTAACGCCATAGAAGACTCGTCGTTCATTGCAATTGATGCTGAATTCTCTGGATTGACCGCTAGGAAACGCGAGAATGCTATGGACACGTGTGACGAACGATATCAAAAACTTATCAATGGCATTAAAGACTTCACTATTGTGCAGTTTGGTATATGTACTTTTAGCTGGGACGACGAACAGCAACAGTATATAGCTAAACCTTTTAACTTTTATATATTTCCAAAACCTTACAACAGGCAAATGCCAGATATGAGATTTTTATGTCAAAGTTCGAGCCTTGATTTCTTGGCTGGGCAAGGGTTTGATTTCAACAAGTGGATCACCCAGGGTGTACCGTTTCTTTTGCCACCAGACGAGGGTCGGCTTCGACGGATGGTGGGCGCATACCACGATCAAGCCACGCCCAACGGTGCTCCTTCCACGCCGGAAACAGAGAAGGCGATACCCATTCCACCTGCATTTGAAAAAACAGTCGAACTGATTATGAAGAAAGTTGAGAAATTTATTGAAGATCCTGAGCAGAAATTGTTAAGTTTGCCGCCATCGAGCCCCTTGGTGCGTAAGCTGGTTTATAGCTCTGTTAAAGCTGCTCATAAAACCGGACTTCATTTAGAATCCAAAACGAACGAAGATAAGGATAAATTCATAATGATCACCAAATGCTCGGAACAAGAAAAGAAGGATTTGGAAAACCAGAAGTTTGATAAGGAACAAGTCGAGGTTGAACAAGCAGTTGGGTTTGCGAAAGTGATACGCCTTCTTTCGAAGTCAGGGAAAGTTATTCTGGGTCATAATATGTTGTTGGATCTTTTGCATATGATACGATTATTTGTCGCCCCACTGCCGAACAATCTTGATGAGTTCAAAGCTCTCGTTAAGGGCATTCTACCAAGACTAATCGATACTAAAGTCATGGCAAGTACCGAACCTTTGCAAGGCTACTTTCCACTTTCCCATCTCCAGGAAGTCTACAAGAAAAGTTCAGAAGCTCCATTTGTGAAGCCAAATGTGTTGTTCACAGAGGAATTTGAAGACTACTCCAACAGCTCGAAGGCTCATGAAGCTGGCTTTGACGCTTACATGACCGGGGTAGCATTTATTGCAATGGCCTCCTTCCTGGAGAAACAACGTGATGGCAGCATGCCTTGTGCAGAAATGGATTTTGACATTATCAAACCGTTTTTGAACAAAATCTTTCTTTTTCCACGAATGGAAGACATTCCGTATCTTATCCTGGACGGTAAGGACTTGACTCCGAGCCGGGATCATGTTTTTCACATTGAACACCCGGACAATTGGCAGTTCTCGGATATCCAGAAACTGTTCAAGGATTTTGGGTATGTTTACATTACAAAGGTTAACGGGAGTTCAGCATTTGTTTCCGTTGCGAAGCGTGAACGAGCAACCAAGGTTATGCAGAAGTTGGATAAAGATAATTTACCATACAGAATTCAGACGTACAAGAAGTACCATGGTATTGATGGTGATGATGATGGTGATGATGATCTTGCCCTTGATGGTGGTGGCGATGTTAAAGATGATATAGATGGTAAAGATGGTATAGATGGCCATGGTTCATCACTCAATCAAAGTTCTACCTCCACACCAAGTTTCGACACTCCCAGTAAAACACCAGAAACCGTCTCATCCAAGCGATCGAAAGATGATGTTTCTTCATCCGAGGTTGAGGAAGGCGAGCTTCCTGACTCACCCGAACCAGCAAAGAAGAAACTAAAAGGTCAGCATACCTATTTTGAAGAGCCTAATGAGTGGTAGTATTGTTAAGAGTTAAGACGTAAACATATGCAAATTACATTGTAGCTCTGTGCTAATTATGGCAAGAAGTAAGAATTTGACTATAAAATAATGTGATAAAATACACTTGCTTATATACATGTTATAAAACTCTTAATCACTTTTTAATCACTATTTTGTAGTTAAATAGTGATTAACTCTCAAATAGGCGCTTCTTATTGGATGACGTTTGCACTTAACCATAGTTAACCTTAATCACTTTTTTATACAACCGCCCCAGAACGTCATATTCAAGTCAGTAGAAACTTTTTAACACATATATAAGCAAGTGTTTTGTATCCCAGAATTTTATAGTCAAATGTTTAAAGAAACCGTTACAAAAAAGAATAAATTTTGCATTTAAAATTACGATCGAACCATAATAACAATTGACACCTACCTCAACACCTTAAAAATTGCTTTAATGAGTTATATTTGGAATGGTATGAAATTGTAGTAGATGTTAAAGTTTGCAAAGTCACTTATCGTGAAAAAAACTGTTTTGGTAAAAATGTCTATTTAGAAAAGGTGCTAAATTGAGGATTTGATTAATGTTTAAAAACAATCATATGGCCTTAAATTTGTGTGTTCAGGATTGATGTAAATGTTTTTGACTTTATGACTTAATACGTATATATATATTGAGTTGATTGTGGTTGCATGTCGTGTTTCTGTAATTAATGTTTTTAAACATGTTTTAAAATTGTAGACTTTATAGAACAATGGATTTTGTTCAGTTTTATACTCCATCATTATAAATGTCCAAAACTTTATCCTTTACAAGTAAGAACTTGTGTGATTAATTAAAATATGTAGGATGTGTAAGGGTGTAGGATGTGTAAACGATGTAGGAAACTGTATGTATATTAAGGGTGACTGCATCTCTGTTTATTGGGTCACAGAGAAGAGATATACAGAGAGGAAACAGACACCTCGATACCTGAATTTTTGTGTCACGCGTTCCACGCGCCACGCAAAATCTTCCAGCCAGTGCCGTCGCTGAAATTTCATAGTAAAAGATAGCGAAAACGCCGTTCGAAAGGTGAAAATCCCTTTTTTTTAAAAAATGAGATACCCATGGAAGTTTTGTTCAATAAATTATTGTAGAATAACGGTAAGCGATCACGTTTATTGATTTCTTTTTATTAAAAGTGTTAACATAACATTTTATTTTGCAAAATTTTGTTTTTTTTCCTATCTACTCCTTATTATAAAAATCGTGAAAAGCACTGGCTGGAGTTTCAGATACTCATATATAAAAAAACAGTAGCGAATGATATAAATTCCTCAAAATATAACTCTTGCATAAAAAAACATGAATACTTCTATAATATGTATAGTTTTTTCCTCTGCATGGTCACAATTTAATAAAAAAGTGAATAACTAGGAATTAGGATGTAGCCCACAAACAGGCGTTTATTCAGTTGGGTGCAACACTTTATGTTGGTAACGCATTCACCATCGACACTAACTTAATTGAATTTAATAATTGAATTTTTTTTGAATTTAATAAATTGCCAATATAACTTTCATAAACAAATACAAATAAATAAATAAAAAAAATAGAATTACATATGGCGAGGAAATCCAAAAAAGAAACCTAAAGGCTTATGAAATCATGGATTTCCTCCCAGAAATGGATTACAGAAAATTATATAAATAAGCAAATGCAAAATGGCAACATCAAACATTAAATGTAATACGGTAGTTTAACATATTCGATGAATGGCTATATTGATGGTTACAATTCAAAGAAATAAACTTTTAAGCCTGAAAGTAAAAATTTGAAAAGAAACAGAATTAACAATTTCATCCCCAAGTGAGTTAAAAAACTTCGGACCTTGATATCGTATTGAAAACTGACAAATATTTGTCCGACACAACGGCAGGTGGAAAGATTTTGAATTTCTAGTCAGATAGCTATGTACTTCACTATTCAATCTAAAAAAACTATCAAAACATGCAGGCAACAATCCATGTTTATAGGAAAACATAAACTGGCCCATTTGCAATGAGCAAATATCACAAAATTTCATTATATGAAGTTCTTTAAAAATAGGATCTGTATGTGCATCAAAATTACTCCTACTTAAAATTCTGACAACACGTTTCTGAAGTAAAATAATACGATATGAATTACTCTGGTAGGTAGACGCCCATACCAGATTACAATAATATAGATATGGATAAACTAAAGAAAAATATAACGTGCGCAAGTTTTCTTTAAATAGGTAGAAACTTGATTTATAAATTATTCCTATAAATTTAGATATTTTATTTGCAACTTGAGCAATCTGCGGTTTCCATGACAAATGTTGATCCAAGACAACTCCCAAAAACACAATTTCACTTACTTGAGAAATTTCATGATTATTTATGCACAAATTTATATTCAACCTTCCCTTCTTTTGTTTTGGCTTAAATAACATGAATTTCGTTTTATCTAAATTTAATGATAACTTATTTGCTTTAAACCATTCAGATAATTTTTCAGTCTCCTCCTTCAAAACTTTAGTTAGAATTGTTGGGTCATAATGCGAGTAAAAAATATTTGTATCATCAGCGAACAAAATTACCGTCAAAAGTTTCGAAACATTTGCTAAATCATTGATATATAATAAAAACAAAAGAGGACCCAAGATTGAACCCTGAGGTACTCCGCAGGAAATATTCTGCTTAATAGAATTTGTTTGATTATATTATACATAGTTTGTGTATATAAACGACAAGTGATTTCTCAAGCCTCTTTCTCCTTATGCCCATATACACCCTGTCACCCCAGAATAATGAAAGAAATTGTAAAACAATATCATGCTGAAATGATACCTTTACTATTAAACAAATCGACCAAAGTAAGCCTCCGTGCAGTGAGGTATAGTTTTGCCAAGTAATGGATGATTCCATTCATAGACGAAATTTGATCTAGACAAGAACGAGATCCATTACCATAGCTGGAAAGAGCATCTTAAAATGAGTAAAATTGCAAAGTTTGGTTGCGAATTGTTGTAAAATGAAGAAAATATAGCCCTGTGAAGTTCGCAAATTTTGTATATATTAGGGAGCAAGATGCACCAAATGGACGCGACCAGAAAACAGTCGCTTATAATGGAAGACTAGTTTTACTTTGTTTTTCTCGTGTCCCTGGCTTCCTTTACCAACAACAATCCATAGTTTTTTTTAAGTGAAACTATGATAATGGCGGCAGTTTTTCGTCACGGGGTCCACGTCGTAGATTTTGGTGTATCTTAAGCTCCCTATTTGCATTACGCGCGGGAAAAATAACCATTGAGAAAAATAACAATAATGAGTAAACTCTACTATTGCTCTACGGTCTGGGCAAATACATCTACCACAAACATTAAGAAACTTCAAGCGGTTCAAAATTTCGCCCGCAGGGTTATAACTAACGCAAGAAAATATGATCATGTCACACCTGCACTCCGGGCGATTAGTTGCCTTCCAGTTAGAGAACTCCTTCAATATAGAGATCTGACTGATGACTTATAAATTATGACCAGCCCCTGATACTCAGGCTAGGCCAACCTCGTTCCCAGTCTTGGAGACTAGACACCACCATGCAGTGTATCACCTGTAGCTTCCCTCAGTGGTACCTGCCGCTGCACATCGTTTCGTTGCCATGGAGTGAATCAGTAAATAAACGATGATTCACAAGAATCCACAAAGAGCCCAACAAAGTTAGTGAATATTTCAAGGTAAAATTGATAACTATA